ATTCCATTATTGGAAGTAGGCCAGAATTAGAGGCAGGCCTCTATTGATCAAAACAGACGACCAGTGGAATGAATAAAAACCAGATTTTGTGTCTCTTTGAACCTATAAAATACTAGGTTCATGTATTGAAAAAGTACAGTTACCATAACGGTGTACAGAACATTATTCAGACATCTTCCAGAAGCTGCCATTTTTCTGCACGGCAATACGAAAAAAAAAAAAAGACACAGAATGAGATCTTAGCCAAACTGACTTGCAAAACAAAGTTTTAAAAAAAAGATTTATGGAAACTGTTCTGCCATCACAGCAAAATTTTATTTACCAGTATCAGATATTTCAAAGGAAATTCAGAACAATGAAGGCCAATGAAATTCTGTCATTTTAACTCTGTCTGGTTACCACCAGACCTACTGGTAATCACATGTGTCTTTCAGATCAGAACGATTGTGTGGCTGGTTATCCTCCTGCAGCAGCGTGTCGCTGTGAGCTAGACGCAGACATTTTTGATTTATGCTCAATATTGAAGCGTGGTCTGTGCTACACGCTGTGGGTCTAGATACGGCCGAGGCGGTGAGGAGGTGGTAGCAAGTTTAGTCCGACGACGGAGGGACATAATGGCGAAAAAGTGCGGAGATTCCAGTGGAAAAAGGGTCCCAGCGTTCTCGCGCACCTCGCTCTTCTAGCGCGTCAAATTTCACGAGTCGTTTTCCGCAATTTCGGCCATAAAAACAAAACAAGCCGGCCTCCTGTCTGCGGCACCGTCTGCGCTAAGGATGGGACATCCCATGCTAATGTCTTGGATTCGTTAGCAAACACTGCTCCCCTGTGGTACTTGTATGTTACTATCACAAGTTGTTGAGGACTGCCCAGGAACATCGTTGGTTCTAATTACAGCCCCGGACTGTATAAGAGTCCGGCTATTATTTACCTCTGCCGACAGCGATAGCGGCCATTTTTAGAAACCAGGCCGCTAATGGAATACGGCCAATATTAGAGAATGTACGGTATAAAACAAAAAAACAAACCCTATTTTCTCACCCCTGGTGGGGTGGTATGTGTCATCCTCAAGCTCGGGTCCTCTACCAGAGGCCTGGGAGTTTGAGGGTTCTGCGCAGTATCTTAGCTGTTCCTAGGACTGCGCTCTTCTGGACAGAGACCTCTGATGTTTTACCTGGAACCTGCTGTAGCCACTCTCCCAGTTTGGGGGTCACAGCCCCTAGTGCTCCAATTACCACTGGCACCAC